TTTAAATGTATTATATCAATTTGTATAGGTTTTGACATTAATGATTAAGTTTCTAAAAACTTAGGGATTTTTGTCATAACTTGATTTTTTTCCTTAAACCAAATCTTTTTTTAGTATCTTTTAAAAAATTAATTATTGTATACAATGGCTTAAGCAATACATAATTCTAAAGAATAAATTCTTTACATTTTCAATAATAAATATTTGAAATTATCTTTTAATCCATATTAAAAATGATGGATAAGAACTTTATCATTCCAATCCACATTGCAAGCATGGTTTAAGAATTTGGCAATATATATATGGTAGTTGACCATGATCTTTGTTATAGAGATAGAAAATTATTTTTTACTACCATTTTTTAATTATTTTATCTAAATACAGGCATATATATTTTCAAGAATGATTTAAATTATAGATGATTTATGAATCTTTTTCCATCAAAGATACAAATCAAAAGACAACACGTCTACATAGAAGTGTGGTTATGAATCTAATTTGAATAAATCCATTGGGATATTGAAAAATATATAATTTTAAATAGGACTTGATTTGTTAGAAATCCTAATTTTTTTTATCTTGTTTCATCACACTTATCCAGCATACTAGTTGTTGCTTCTTTCATATTTATTATACCAAAATTTTTTAAATTAATATTACAAGGTTAATCTACTTGCTTCTTTCAAAAGCACAATTTTTTGGCATAAATATTGAACTTTATTGTTCACTATTTCAATAGATGTAGGATTTAATCTTTTTAATTTTAAATAAAAATAAAAATTATAAAATAATATTTTTTTCAAATTATTAAAGATATAAATAAAAAATAATAAAAATCTCAAAATACTCTTTTTTACTCAAAAATATTATATATCCACTAATAAAATAATATAATATTAAAATTAAAATGACTATTATCAAAGACAAGAATTCTAAAGACTCTCGAAACAAAATTTTAAAAAAAAGACATTAATAAGAGTAAGAAAGGCTTCATTCTAGCTTTTATATATAATATTTAACTAAGAGCTATGTGGTAGCATTTTATAGAACCTCTAACATATGTCCAATTTATAAGATATGTATTTAACTTATAAGATAAGTTTCTGATATGTATGCCATATGGCCAACTTGTATTATAAGTTGCCAATATGTGCAAAATATGGCTAACTTATGAGACAATTTTTTAACTTGCTAATCAACTAAAAAAACATATAAAGTCAAATCCATGTCTTTGAAGCTTCTAAGAAACTATTTTACAAGATATTATAAAATTTTACTTATATTTCATTTCTATCTATTATTTCTTATCTAAGTAATTATATATGTCTATGATATCTCTTTTTTTGTCCAAGCATAGGCTTAGACCTCCTTCCCTCTTTCTTATCTTGATGTGGATCTTAAACTTCATCATTAAGTTCCTAGTTTAAACTTACTCTCCTTCTTTATTATTCCAATGCAGGTTTTAAACTTCATCTCTAAATTCATTGTCCAAACCTTCTCTCTTTCTTTGTTCTTTTGGCAATAAAACTAAGAAGTCAAAGAAGAAGTCCAATATTCATGCCGGGACAAGGAAAAGAGAGGAGGTTTTAGACTTGTGCAAGGACAAGGAAGAGGGGATTGGTGACAAAAAACGTGTCAACTTCATTAAAACCTTGATTGAAATATCAATTCTATATATATATATATATATATATATATAACATTAATCTATTCAAGATTTGTATGGTTTTTTCTTTATAAAAATAACAATCATAATAAATGTTTTTAGAAGTGGCATTTCTTTCTTATCAATTTTAGCATCTTCTTCAATGTTTTGGTTGAAGTTTGAAAAATATTTTTTTTGGTGACTTTTCTTCACACTTAGTATTGAGCTGGTATACTTGCTTTTGCCTTAAGTGCACAGATGTTGCTGGCAAATCATGGCTGTTGACTGCATCTAGAGTTGTTGGCTTGTACCCTTCTTTGTTGTTTTGTTTCTGAGTCTATGTTTGCTAATGCAGAATTTTGTCACTCCATTGCTGCATATACCACATGTCTAGTGTCCATTGTATGTATATAATCTGGACATTGATTCTAAAATTATAGTAAAATCCTAAACTAATTTTCAACAAAGCATCCAATCTAAACTTTCAAACTAATTTACTTCTAATTCCAACATAGAACTTGTGTTGTTCAGTCTACATGGTCTCCAAAGTTGACTCAACAAACAAAATACTATCATTTTTTCAAAAATGAATATCAAATCAAATTAGGATTTGTGAGTAGTAATGATCACAACACTAACAGTTTTGTTGAATAGCACCTTTGAAGGGTGTTCAAGCACAATGCCATTATTGAATATGCCCAACATCCAATACCAACATTAAGTTAGAATCTCATTAAATACAATTAGGAGGAATGAAGAATGCTCACATGTACAGAACTCCTAATTCCTTTCCTTCATAACATTCAGAACTTGCTTATGAATGTTGTTTATTTCATTTTTAAACCATTTATTATTTTCTAGATATATTCAATATTTTTCAAAATTATTAACATCTACAACAAGCTGAAATTAGAAGGATTTAGAATTCTGTTTCACTTCTTTTCTTCTTCTTCTTCTTTTTTTTTTTTTTTTTTTTTTTTTTGCATGTAACATATATACTTCTTACAACTGAACAATATGATTCTTTGTCCTCTATGTTTAGAATGATTTTGTACACATTTTGTACACTCTAGAATTTTTATGTTTTTTTGTATAATTTAATATTTTGTTTTATAGAAAACAAGGAATTCTTTCTTGTGAGAAAAGTTTCTTACTTATTTCCATCATCAGTGGACTCAAAGTGATGCATACTACTCCCATCCTATGTCAAGTGAACAATTTCAGCATTTACAGGGAGAATGAATGGATGGCATAACATCAACATGGACAAACCCTACATCTTGTGGAGACCACACCATTACACCACAAGACCAGATAAAGGTTCATCAGTGAGACACTGTGTTGAATCCTGCTCAATGTTTATGAAGTATTACTTGCCTTTGGGAGCACATGAGTGCCAACCAACTCTGGAGGTTCCAAATGAGGAAGAAGGGAAGGGTTCGCTTGGTTTGTTGCCCAGACTTGTTGTTTACACTGATTAAAGAAGAGCAACTTTCCTCTCTAACCCTCTAAATGTGGTTGAAATAAAACAAAATAAACCTTCTCACAACATTAACAAGTGCAGAGGTGGGTTGGCAGTTGGAATGATAATAGTAGAAGTTGGAAGATCAGCAGTGGAAGGAGTAAAAAGGAGACATGGTGAAAAGAAGTGGGGCATGTGGTGGGATGAAACAGTAGGCCACACAGCCAGTCTGCTGAAGAGGCAAGAAGGAGAATTTAAGGGAGAGCAGAGGCTGCTGCTTTTTCTCTTGCAGTCAGACAGAGAGGATCTCTATTGAACTTTGTGGTGCCAATCTCTAAAGGCTGAAAGCAGGATGAGGACAGCACCATATGCACAAGGCAGAAAGATGCTGTGGGACATGTAAGTGTGTGTATGAATGTATATGACACATGAAAAGCAAAGCAGTAGTGAAGTTCCTCATGAGGAGCTTGTACCTACCCTCCTCTTGGCTTTGCTTTGAGAAAGACACCTGCATCATCAGGCAACAACAATAGCAGCAATAGCACTCTTCCCCACATCTTGGCTCAACCATCTGTCTCTCTGCCTTGAAAGACATCAAAGCATCATGGAGTAAGTCATGCCATCTTCTTTTTCATTTTTCAGAGGATTTCTTCTTAACACCCTGACAAACATTGGGCTCCCATTTCATTTCACTGGGTTATTTTCTAGCATAAAGTCAAAACAAGAGGAGAAGTTTTCGTTTGGTCATATTTATTCTTCTTTTTTTTTGGATAAAAATCACAAATCAATGCGTTTAAAAATAATGTAATATGTACATGGTTGTTGTGTATAGACAAAAAAGAAAATTAAACAAAAAGAACAAGAGAATAAAATATAGCATCTATTCAACCATTGAATTTTATCCAATGGTTGTTTTTTTCCAAGTATTGTACTTATTTTTTAATAAAGAAGCTTACAACTTTTAAATGTGTACATAGTATCAAATGTCGAATTTTTTATGTTAATTAAGGAAAAGACCGTTATTTTATTAAAAATATAATTATTTTGAACAACATGATAACTTTAAACAATACAAAGTATCTCATCATCACCAAAAGTAAACAAAAGTAAGCATTCTAGAGAACTTGCATGGATGGCCAAGGATGCTTGCATTGAACAGACGTCCTCAAAGATACCATTTGAAGGAGACCCCACAATAGCTTCCTTCCACCAATCCAAACTTCAACTGGTGGCATAGAATACAAGTTTTCAGCAATTAAAAACACTCTGACAAAACCCTTAATTGATTAGTTAATAAATCCATCTGATTGATGGATTAGTTTCACCATAGGTGTATTCAGCAACTACTTGTGATCCATCCCATTGCCATACTTTTGGTAACTGTATGCTTGTGGAATGATACTAAGTCATTGGAAAGTAAAAATTCAAAACAAACATCCCCTGGCATGCAAGAAAACGAAAGATGTTTTCCAAGTAGCCGGACGAAGAAGCAACAGAAGAAGGCGAAGAAGAGCAGCGTCAGCAGCACCGGGAGTGCATGGGGATGAGAGCAATGTAGGATTCCACAGCAGAGTGGAACCTGCTGCCGCGGCACGGCAACCCAAATGCTCCAAGCAAAGCAAAGCAACGCAACGCCAAGCAAATCGAAGGAAGGAAGGAAGGTTGGGTGCAGCAATGTGCGCCGAGGCCAAGAGCAAGGCAGAGTTTGGGGGGGGGGGGGGGGGTAATAGCGCGGCATCACGCGTTTCCCGAAGCGCTGTGGTAAAGATCCTCCCACATCGTAGTTGGCCACGTTCTGTGATTCCCGGCCCTTGGATGTCGCAGCGGCGCATCTTGGCCGTGGGAGCGAAGGGAATGGAAGCCAGCGGGGAAAGATGAAGCGCAGGTGCTGCAGCACGCTAAAAGAGAGACAGACAGACAGAGAGGGAGGGAGATGGAGAGAAGTGAGGGAGAGCGAGAGCCCAGCGATGGCTTCAACGACGCGCCTGTGATCGATCCATCTCCACGGGCTCCATTCCTACTTGGACATGTGGGACTGCACTTCCGATGCGCCCTTCTGGGGATACTGATCTGGCGTTTCCCGTATCTCTGTCGTGCTCGATGCAGTGTGTTCTAGTGGAGGGAGGATTTGATGTTCGTTTTTTTGGACGTAAGCGGAATTCGGTCTAACCGGATTCCTTCAAGGAATGGGAGGTCTTAGCACGGTGTGGTGTGCTATGTGGCGGGGAATTGGAGCTTCTTGTGAAGTAATTTAGGTCGTGTGAAGTCTTAGGGGCTGTGTTTAAGACGGTATGTGGACCCGCAGCGATTTGCTTGCCGAGACAATGTCTTGATGGTCTAATTTTAAATAAGTTTTTAATCCGCGTGGTGTTCATGAGTGTTGATTGTATCGATCTCGGGTTTTTGTAGTTTGGTGATTGGCTCTGGTTTTTGGTAGGTCGGAAGTGCGCGAAGCGCTTTGCATTGAGATCGGGTTCGGTTTAGAGCGTAATAAGTTGGAGCAGAGCGTGCGAGACTACGAACTTGGCGTGCGACTGTGCGATTATTACACAGAGATGCGTGTGTAAATGTCGGATGGAAATTTTGTGAATTTGAGCGCCTTCCGGTTACATGATTGGCAGTTCGTGTGCTTTCGAGAAATCGAGGAGAATCGGAAGGGATGAAATTGGAACTTGTCGGTAATGTTTGGAGCAGCACAGCTTCGGCCGTCGAGGTTTCTGTTTCTGTGGCTCTCTTGTGCACTTCTGGACTAACAAAATTTTCGTTAGGGCAAATAGGAAGTACAGATGTGGCATGTATTGGAGGGGAATGGCGTCTGTTGCAGCTAATTTGAACAGCAAGGAAAATTCTCTCAATCGGTGTAGGATGACAGCAGGAATGCAGACTTTTGTTGCATAGATTCCTCTCGCTATTGCTATGTACACTATCGGCTTCATTCCTACAAACTTCATGGGTCTTCTTCTGTGGTCCTTGGGCTTTTCGACGAAATTACACATGAAGTTGTGCCATGTTGCAGATATGGCTCTTACATTGAACGTTTGCATCCCAGAAGCGCTCATTTTGTAAATTCTGGCCCAGATGGAGGCTTCTGGGGATCTGCTGATTCGTTTAGTACTTTTATAGGTTGTTCTCAGACCTTTGAACGACTCTGTTATTTGAAACTTCCATTTATCAGTTTCCAAGTTCTTAGTGAGCCAGTGCGTCTTGCATCTGCGAAGTCTGCGCATGCAACCTGCAATGGAAGCGATGGGTCCCCACCAGCAACGGCGACGCCGCCGCTCATCAGTCTCAAAGGAGTTGGCGCCTGGTAACAGGTGAGGTTGGAATGTTGTCCCTAACGGATCATGATATTGAACTTTCGACTGACCCAATGACGTTCGCTTAACATTCAAAGTATTGTTTAACCCTCGAAAAATATCTCGAATCGGTTGCTGAATACTTGATTTCCTGGGCATGAATCTTGTTCAATCCGTACTCTTCAAATACATCATGGGGTGCGCTGTCGTCAGGATACGACACCAACTCTCCTACACTGAAGAGTATTTGAATTTATAGTCTTGTTTGTTCTTACACGATTATTTAAGACATAGATTAGCTCGTCATTACATGTAAACATTTGGGATTTTCACGGGCATTTACTGCATTCTCCCTTGAACAGCCTATCTTCATTCAAACTGTAGTCTGATTACAGTTTAATCCCCACATTAAAAAATGTTGGATTTAAAGTTAGTGCTGACGACACAGAAGCATAGAATTGCATAATTATTGTGTGGAGGCTAAGCCTCTTCATATGCTGAGGGTGACTTTTTGGGCAACTTTCATTCTTTCTCTTCTGCTTCTTCTCTTCCTCGTCCTCCTCCTCTCTCTTTCCTTCATATTAGTTGAGGCTTTGCTGATTTTTTTGGTGAATGTGTTCAGGAAAATATATGATCCTCGAAGGTGGCATAAGAGGACAAACAGTAATTCAGATGTAGGTGGGCAACCCCCTGCAGGATGGGTCCTCATATGGGCTGGTAGGTTCAAGCGTTGGCGACGGCGCTGGTTTGTTGCAAATCCTCCTGGGCTGCTTCTTCACTACAAGAATCCAGATCAAATCGGCCGTCGTGGATGTATCAGCCTCATTGTACGTATGGTTCTTTTCCCTGATTCTTGTTGAATCACGCTTGAAGCCGCAGAAAATCTTCACTCGTATCCGTGATGCAAACATTGTATGTGAAGCTCAATGCCCTGCAGGTTACTGCTGATTTGGTCTCTATATCTTTTATTATAAACAGGGAGCCACTGTAGTTCTTACCCCTGGCAAGGAGCGGCAGTTTAAGATTATGAGGGGTTCCATGGTGTATTATCTGCGTACGATCAATCGCGATTATCGGCAGCCTTGGTTGGATGCCATTTATGAATCAATACGGGTGTATCGTGATTCTGCCCAGACGGCACAAGGTGGAGGTTATTATGGAACGGCATTACTACCTCAGCCTTCTGTACCTTCGGTAGATTCGACGATTCCTATAATATTAAGGATGTACCACAGTTTTGTTTCGATCTAAACTTGTACCTTGTTAGTTGGCACAGCAAAGAGCAATGCGTACAGGCATAATTTAAATCCTCTGTGTTTGGTAGCAATAACTGATAGACTTAGTAGGAGTACCTTTGGCATTTCTCGTCAGCAACTGAATTTATCGAATTGATCTTACTCCTCCCTTGCAAAGAATCTAAATGCCTCTTTTGCAGCATGCGAGAGAGGATTGGGAGATCCAAGAAAAGGAGCTGAAAAGAAGGGTTAGAGAGCGTCTGAGGGACCTGGAGCCCACTCGGAAGGGTACTACCTCGTTTCTATTAACTTTCTTGTTGTAATGATCGCTGAGCCGGATAAAATTCCCAGAATTCCGAGGACCGAAGTCTGGCTGATCATATTTAGCTTTCTGAAGTAATGATTTGATGCCTCTCCTGCTCATTCCAGGTATTCTTGGGACTTCTTGTGGAGGGACATGTAGTTTGCAAGGTGTTGTAGGCGGACCTATTTCTTAGATCACAAACTTCTTTTCCTGGGTAAGTTAAAGCGCATTAATTCGTCGTACTTCGCATTTGCAGCTTTTCTTGATCAGTTGCAGACTCTGCAACAATCATTATCGACTATCTCAGGTGTGCTTGGTTTCGCTGACCATGGGGAGGTACCTCAAAATTCCACGACAAACGGGTTCCCTACCTTGCCAAGGCTGCAGGAGACAAACTGGAGGTCAAATGGGTTGTTTATTACAGAGAATGAAGTATCAAATTTGGACGTTTCTCGCCAGCAGAATGGCACTCCTTCTACAGGAGATGACAAACTATCTTCTCCAGATATGGGTGCATCAAACTCCTTTCAGAATCACTCGGGACCTACGTCGCCTCGAATGAATCAGTATCACGAGAACGAACCTTACAGCAGAAGTGGTCTTCGCTCTCTTGTCAAGTTTAAGAGTGATTCGGAAGCGTTAATGCCCAAGAAGTCGACCAAAGATATAAATGGCAGCAGGTATTGTCTTACTCATGCTGATTTTAAACGTGAATGATGTTAAAGCAGTGAGTTGTGTATGGCTTCTGTACTCAGTTTCTGGTTTTTTTGTACTCGATAAGTTTAGGACAAGTCTAAGTACAGAAATTCGCAAACGCCAACGAGGTGGCATTAATGCTGATGAAAAATATTAAGCGTCAAACTTTTTTAAGTTAATACAGGTTGGTGAATGCGCAAATTTTTCGCAAGCCGTGTCAGGTGCATGGGATCATTCTCCATCAATAGACCCTGAATAACATTAGCACATGTGCCAATTCATCACGTTTCTTTTATAGAAAGTAAAATAAACTCTATGTTTTTACACACATGTTCTTTTAATTTGCTTACAAGTCCTCGGATGTTTACCTGGTCAGGTCTCATAAGTCGATGCCTGTCTCTGATGTAACGGCTGACGAGAAATTCGGAAAGGGTAGGCGGAGAAGTTTGTCTTTATCGGTATTTGAGCATCTTGAAGACGATACCGAATCTTTCTCTCAGGACGTGAGCTGCATTGGGGCTGAATGTTTCCCAGTAAGAAAACGAATTGTTCATGGAAATGCATCAGATACTGAGTCAGGTTCCAGAAAGCCTCTGAAGTTCAGTGGGCCCTTGCACCACCAGAAGAAAAATGGAGATTCTGTTTACAACTTCACTCCATCTTCTAGTCAGGAACTTGACCCGAACTTAATGAAGAAGTTAGAGAAGGAAGTCTTTGTTCCAAACAAGGAAAACGAAATGTCTTCAGGATCAGCTTCTAGATCAGGTGGAGGCTCAAATCATGGTAGCAAAGAAGTCAGATTTGGGGCAGCGCAACTCAGAGCGGTCGATAAGGAAGGGAGTGGAGGCCCAGGTAGAAACGGGCTATTCAGCCAGGGGCCTCTTCACGCCGCTTGGAACCACATGCAGGATATGTATACTGAGGTCGAATTCTGAAACTCTCTATTTGTATAAGTCATTTCGATTGCATGATTAATCTCTGAACGTAGATGACATGGCGACCAATCGAAAATCATCCTTTCGTTGGTTGTAGTTGAATATACACGGTTCATGACTTCAAAGAAAAGATCAGAGGAAACTTGCGAAATACCATCATATGTCTAGTCTCTAGACATATTAGAATAAAGCGGGTTCTTTGCTTATGCAGTTAAATAATTACCTTGGTGATTATTTGGTGTTACTCGCTGTTTCTACTATGGTGCTACATCCGCGACATATCACGGGAATTGAACGTTATTGGTTGTTTAGGTTTTGAAAGAAGAGATATACCGTGTGCTCGAACTTGAAGCGGAGAATGCCGTTCTACAACAAGCAATGCGGTCACTGCCCCAACTTCAACAAGATCGAGCAGCTCTTTTGAGCTTGAAGGAAAGACACAAGGTTAGTGTGAATATTGTTCGTACTTTCTGCAGCTTCCTACTGTTTGCTTGTTGTGCTGGATGCCTTTAACTTTCAACGTGTTTCTCTCTTACATATTTGCTTTACTGACGGTTTAATTTTCATACGCAGTCAAAGACAAACTTTGCATTAGAAAAACACTACTAGAAAGATTAGTTGCTGAAACCCGGCGATTGATATTTGTTAATATATGGGTTTTAATAAGTTTCGGCTAGATTACCGAGTGAGCAAGTCACTTACGTAGTTGTTTTGGAGATAGATAGAGACACATTTTATTGGTCTGGAATTGGCCGTAGTAACACTCATGCGTTTTATTTGCGACACAGAAACAATGTGAATGTGGTCGCAAACTTACCTCTGAAGAGGAAGTTGAGGAATATGGAGAAGACACCGAAGAAGAGATTGCTATAGTGCATCCTGATGTTGGAAATGAGGTAATGAGAACACCATCTCTATCTGCCTGTTGATTAATCAAATTTTGACAACTTATCCTTTTGATTGGTATTGCCTTCTTCTAAATTTACTTCTAGTTAATAATGCTTATCAAGATTATCATTTCCCCCCAAGACCACTACAAGCGTGTGAACTAACGCTGTTTTATTAAAGCTTACTGTCCATGATGCGGTTCTCTAAACTACGTTCTTGTTTCTTTAGTTTCACTTAGAGAGCCTTTTGAAGGGTATGCAATTTTGTAACTTGGTCATGGTTACCAGCAATAAGAAACTATGTTGTCCAGATGCGTTCATGTTATCAAAATTTGGGCGTGTACTGTACATTTTGCAGGAATATTTTGAGGCTTTGGAAGTCTTGAACCATCATGAGTTTGCATCTCGGTCGATTTCACCAGATGAACAAGGCATTTTAGGGGAGCCAGCTGATGGTAATCAAGAACCTCCTGAAGAAGCTGAAACAGGGGATGCTGATTTTCTATCAGAAGCCGAAGGGGAAGAGATTGACCAGCCTAGGAGAAGGTGGGACGCATGTCTAGTTACGTTTTTAGATATGCCCATCTGGGATTGGTTGATTTTCTCATTCAAGATGTCTTGATATATCTAAGTACTCCTGTTAGCATGATCTAACTTTTCCTTCTGTAATTGCTTATAGATTACCAGCTCCGAGACCACTTTCTCGAGGATTTACTGTCTGGACTGTACTGAAGAATGCAGTGGGCAGGGACCTCAACCACATCACAATGCCTGCCACCATTAATGAGCCCCTCTCAGTACTCCAGAAGTGTGCAGAGGAACTTCAATATCGGTAAGCCTAGTTATTTTAAAAATTCTCTCAAATCTGCGTTTTGTTAACGAAGCATCTGCAATCAACTTAATCACATACCACCTCACGTCTCATCCGTGAGTCTGCAGAGCACACGATGTTGCTCATTCTTCCGCTTGTTCTTGTTCTTGTTTTTTTATAATGTCTAATTTATTTATTATTTAGTAATCTCTCTCTCTCTCTCTCTCTCTCTCTCTCTCTCTCTCTCTCTCTCTCTCTCTCTCTCAACTTTGGTACCGTATTGATCCTTTATTTTGACCTTATTTTGTAGGCATTTATTGGAACAAGCAGTTCAGAAGAAAGGCTCTTTAGAGCGCTTGCTCTTGGCCAGTGCATTCACTTGTGCAAGCTATTATGGAAGTATTCACCGTGATGCAAAACCTTTTAATCCCTTATTGGGAGAAACATACGAGTACCAAGATTATCATTGCTGGTTTCTAGCGGAACAGGTGCGATTGTGTGGTGTTGTAGACGTCTCCGTGGTTAAAGACGATTTCGTTGGATTTGATGAAACCATTCAATTTATTTTTGTGTTGTTTATATCATAACACAACCATCAACCTAGATCCGGACCTGACTAAGTATATTACTCTTTTCTTAATATATATGTACATTTTACAAGGCAAGGTGGGATTCAGTTTTAATTTTGCACAAGTATGTTAACGTTCTGAATTAGTTCTTTTCTACTCACGCAGGTCAGTCATCACCCACCAATACTAGCCTTCCAAAGTGAAGACACAGGCGGTCGATATCAAATTTATGGCGAGATTGAGATCAAGAACAAATTTTGGGGAAGAAGTATAGAGGTCTGTCCATACGTAACCCTCGACGTGTTATTACCTTGTATAATCATCTGTGAAATTGCAGCACTAACCTGAATGCTTTATTCCGCAGGTGCTGTGTAATGGAGCAGTTCACTTAAAAATTCCTAAATACGGAGACCACATTACATGGAACCGAGCAACTCTTTGCATTCACAATGTTCTCGTTGGCAAAGCATGGATTGATAATTACGGAGAGGTATCTGTTGTAAACCATTCAACGGGTGACGTTGGTCGTATTCGCTTCCACAAAGCAACTAGCAGAGAGCAATGCCGCATCACTGGGAAGGTTTGTTGTCTGTGCTTATTGTGAGTTTCAATTTGGGATAATTTACTTTGCTTGGAGGTTTAACCCTTTTCTTCCTTCTTCGTTTTCTATCTCTTTCTCTTCTTTTTCGTTTTATATTAATCATAAACTTGTTTAGACCTTCTATGGCTTTTCCAGTTCGATTAGGTCAAGGTTAGAATTTTTGCAGTAATCTCAGTTACGATGTCACTAATTAGGCCCCTCTGTCAAAGGTTTGAAGTCCATGATCCTAATGTTGTCAATTTGGTTATTTTGTCAGATTTACGATTCAAAAGGGGTTCCTCACTATACAATATTTGGTAATTACATGGAAGCAATTTATTCGTGTCCAGATTCATGCACCAATTTTGACGTAAATGGCCCCGATGTGAGAATGCTTTGGAAAGCACCTGAACAAATAGAAGATTATCGTCAGCAGTATTGTTTTACCCGATACGCCCTTGCCCTGAACGGTGAGTCTGATTATATGACTTGATGTGTTACCGAATGTTAAACCCGTGTTCTTTACGGATATAACATGTTAGCAGGAAGATAAAAAGTTTTCTGATTTGAGTTTCTTTCTTTTTAGGGATTATTGCACGGTGGCGCCTCACCTTCTTAGCACTAATTACACAGTTGATGTGCTATTCATGCTATTGTCATCCGCAGAGTTGACACCGAAGTTGTCCTATGGACTTCCTCCCACTGATTCAAGGTTTCGACCTGATCAACGTGCACTGGTAAGCACTATGCGATGATGTTCCCTTCCATATTATTTACCTCATTGTGTTCGCTTGGTAATCTTTTCTTCTTTTCCCTTTTTTGGTCTGTTACGATTTGATAAGGCACCTTTCGTTCATTATAGAGAACTTTTGAGGTTAAATTTTTTGAGTAATGATACAAACTAAATCCCGAAGATTCCATTGTGTCTCTTAGGAGGATGGGGATCTGGAGAAAGCAACCCCGGAGAAGCTACGCTTAGAAGATAAACAAAGGATTGCTCGACGGGTGCGTAAAGAGCAGGGGATTGAATGGCAGAACATGTGGTTCACTCAGGTGCATCTCAAAACACTTCTAGTCGTTTCATTTATTTTACAATGGCATTTGATGTGGCGGATTTAGAATCATCATTCGATCATCTTATTGCAATTAATCTCTGTTCTGGCATCGGGCATTAAGTTCAGCAATCTTGATCTGTCGATCCTTCCCGCCTATAAAGCATACTGCTGCTTAAAATTAGGCTAGTTCAATGATTAGAATCCAAGGCCGAACCATAAATCTTGGAAATATAAACAATGGTTTGTATCTGGGTGTTGCAGAGAGAGTCTGGAGTGTCAGAAGTGAAGACAATTGAAGAAGGTAATGCAGAGCCATCATGGGTTTACAAGGGCACTTACTGGGATGCTCGTGAGAAGCAAAATTGGGAAGGTTGCCCTGATATCATGTAGGTTGCAGGCACACATTGAGTAGTAAGCGAATAGGGTTGAATACCTGACCCTTATATTTTTTCCGGATTCATTGCTCGTGTGCACATCATACTTTGGGGTGATTGGCAGAGTTTAAAGTTGTGCACTTAAGCTTGTATAGGAATCATGTAGGTCGAGGGATTGTTGCACAGTATGTATATGCCGATTTGTGTTTTGTGACCTGGCGAAGATTTGATAGCCACCAGCCTACCATCAGTCTACAACCAGGCTGAAAGAGATACTGTATAAATAATTTGCGGAAATTTACGGATTCGTTTGGTTATGTACCCTGCAGTAACTTGGTTTTGCATCTTTATGTGAATGAATACTATTTGAGTCCCCTTATTTCGTTCCTGTGTTGTATGTTATGAAAGGTGTTACTGAATCGATCTTGGTCCAATCCACGACCTGGAAGACGTATAGCAGAGTGTTAAAGGTTGAGGTAGAAACATGCTCGAATAAGACAGCCTCTTACCTAAGCATGCATAAAACAATACATAAGTTAATCATTTACATGCATTCACAGGACCTATGCTCGATACAAGTTCTAGCTCCAGAAGAGAAGCCAGAAATCTCTGGGATATGTTCGTTGGGTCCTGTCCACCACCAACTGGTGTATGTTAACTGTCTTCAACTTCAGTAGGAATTTGAAGGCAGTTAACACACACAAGCTAGATTTCACATGTTAAAGTATTACTTGTCTGTAATTAACTTGTCTCTAAATTTCTACGAATTCATTTGAATACAATAAAATTTGAGACATAGTGTGGTAACATTCTATGTTCTATACTTGATCTAAAATTAGAACTTTGAAGTAACAGCACATTAAAAAAATTAAATCAAAGAGATAAAATAAAGTAGAGGTATTTTAACACTGACTTTTAAGAATCCAATGACTTAGGAAAAAATTACAAGCTAGGTTATAAATATATAGAATTTAAAATTTGAGCTTTGTTTTAAATATGAAAACATTAATTTTATTATTATCTAATTTTTTTCTCTAAAAGATATTATTTATGTATAACCAACGTATTTTATTTTTTTATTAACTATTAGCTTTAAGTTAATTATTACTTTCAAAAATAATTAATTTTTTATTAAATATTTCTTTTTGTTAATTAATTAATTAATTACATTATATTATGTATCTTAATAATAAATTTTTATTATATATATATATATATATATATCCATATATTTTTATCATTTATATAAAAACTATTATTTGGTTTTTTGAACACATGAACCAATTTAGAGTATTATAATGCTACTATTTCTATACATTAAAATTTGTTGAAATTTATATAAAAGAATTACTAGGTAGATTCACCATTGTTACAAGTTTTTCAACTATCTAGACATTAATGAGGTTAATAATTTAAAAAAAAAATAATAAAAAAATAACAACATACAATACATGAACATTGGCAATACAAAAGCTAAAAAAAGTAAATAAATAAAAATGGTGTTCACATAGTAGTTTAGTTAGGTAGACAACTCCCTTTTATTATTTGTTTTATTTGCTATGAATAGCTTTTGTGTTGCCAATGTTTATGTATTGTAAGTTGTTGTTTATTGTTACTATTTTTGTACCTCTCATCCTCATTACTATCCATCTTATTGAAAAATTTGTAAGAATGGTGTATTGTTGATATAACAAGAGAGGTATCAATGTAGTAAAAAAATAAGTATACCTAACAATTCCTTTATTTATTATTTAAAGAAGAATAAATTTTATAAATTTATAATTTGATATGCCATAAATATATAAATGCATATATAAATATTTAACATATTTAATATTTATAAAGATTTATGTGTTATTTTTTTTATTATATCAATAATATATTTTATAACATAATTTTTTAAAATTAAAATTAAGTCATTTGTTGTTGTTGTTGTTATTGTTGTTGTTGTTGTTATTGTTTTTGTTTGTTTGTTTGTTTGTTTGTTTGTTTGTTTGTTTGTTTGTTTTTTTTTAGTTAAAATTAATAAATAATCTAAAATATATTAAAAATTTATATCTTTGTATGAAATTCAAATCAATTTTTTTTGTATCTACTTAGTATATTTTTTTTATATCAAAATCATAGATATTATTTTTAAATAAGTTTAATGCTCACTTTTAATAGTATTATAAAGCATTAAGAATTTCTTTGAGTGTGTTTATAAAGACCTTAGAATTTGGATACTTCAATAAGTAGCAATGTAATTATAATTGAAGTACAATTTAGATCTCATTTATCATATAAAAAATTTAAGAAATAAGAAATTAATATCAAAGTAGGAAATTTGTTGCAATTAAAAACATTTTAAAATTTTCAAGAAGTAAATACATTATAAACCTTTATACACTCAAATTGACAAAAAATTAACTTTAACATCTTTAGTTATCAAGTCTCAAAATTTTGTGGTAGATTTGTCCAAAAGATAGACATCACTTAACAAAATTTATCTATGAGGTGTAATAATAGTACTAGTTAGTGAAGACTCAAGGCCAAATACTTATATTTGATTAAGAGAGTATTGTAAGCATAGATAGAAAAAAAAAAAAAAATGTAACTAAGACTTTGGAATAAAAAGGTTCAAGTAATTTTCATTGTTTGAAAAAAGATACATAAAATGTTGGATGAATACATATTGATGGGAGTAGTTGTGGTCTACATATAAGGATTTATAAGCAGTGCCTATGTCCCACAACCTCCATGTATTTAAAGAGATTAGAGATGATGATCCATTGATACATGAAAAGAGTGTCATGGAACTTCTCACAATGTATTTAATAACCAACTATCATGGAAATAGAACGGTATTCTAGTAAACACCTATATGATTAGGTAGAAGTAAGTAAAAGTAAATAAAAGTAGATTAATTTCATAATACCTTCTAGAAAAGCTTTATAAATGTTACTTTGACTTTACATATATTTATGGTTGATTGGTAGGTTAGAAACTTGATCAACAAGTTAATTACGTATTGATAGCTCGCAAAACAAGCTAATTATATGACACACATGTAAAAAACTTATCTTGCAAGTTAAGATACATGTCTTGCAAAGTCAACATGTTATAGAGGTCCTATAGGACATTGTTACATAACTCCTAGTTAAGAGTATATATAGAAGCAAGACTCAAGTCTTCTTCACTTTTGTCAATGCCTTTCTAGTCTTTAATCTTGTTTTTAGACTTTCTAATTTTCTTGTTTTTAGCAATAGCCATTCTAATTCAATAATACATCATCTTTGAGTGACTTTCTAATTCTTTAGAGTGTCACAAGAGTGTATTGAGGATTTCTTTCTTTGAAATTCATATCCTTAATACTTTGATAAGAATTCTAATTTATTGTTTCTATCTTGTTTTAAAAGTGAGTAGATTATCTGACTTGAATTATTATATTTTGAAGGTTGTAGACTACCCTCTATTAAATAAAAAATCTTATTTATTAATATTGATATTTTTCTTAAAAAAATTATATTATTCTTCTTTATAGAAATTTTCATTTCATATTAGAGGTTGCGGATCACTCTTCTCTAATTTAAGTTTTTGAATTTATTTGAGTTGTTTATGGAAGGAAAGATTATGGATGCTACTTTCAATGGAAGTGAGAATAGATTTATAACTATTGCAAATCTTCATGAGCTTGTCAATACTTTAAGAGAAGAAATCTCATGTATTTCTAATGTGAATCATAGAGGTACTATTCCATGCCTATGGAAGAAGTTTACAGTTTGTGGCAAGAAGTTGTACAATTGAAGTAAGCAAGTAGATCAACTTTACAACCAAATCCAAGGAGTTTTGCTTCTATAAGTATGACAAGGACAAAGATTAGTATACTTGAGAAATTTGATGGAATAAAATCAAAATTTTGAGGATTTTTGCTATAAGTCAAGCTCTATCTAAGGTTGCCTGCCTTCCAATATCCTAATGGATTTACTCAAGTTGGATTTATAGGTACACTTCTATCATAAAGTGCTCTCTCTTGCTTTGTATCTTTAATAGAAAATAATTTGTGACTCGTTTATGGTTTGAATTCATTCCTAGAAGTGTTTATGGCTACATTCAAAGAAAGTGATTAAGAAAGGATAGTAGAGACTAAGCTCTTATCTTTATAGTGAGGATTACAGTTAGCCACCATATATGCTACTGAATTCCAAAACCTAGCTTACAATTTGGATTGAAATGATAAAAATTTTATCAATCAATTTTGATTAGGATTGAAGGATAATGTCAAAGATTTATTATTAATAATATCAAAGGTAAAATATTTTGATCAATTTATTAATTAAGCCATTACATGTAATCATTGATTATTTAAAAGATATCAAGAATGAAAACTTTGTTAGAGAAGAACAAATCAAATAAAGATAGTATTTTCTAAGTTTTCAAAAACTTATTCATTGAAGCTAGAACTAATAAAAATTGATACAATATGTTTTAAACTCCTCTTGAAGCATGAAAAGATCCAACAACAATAAGAAGACTTATGCTTATATTATAGAAAAGCTAAACATACTACTCAACATTGTTCAAAGAAATAATGCAATAACAAAATGAGAAGCATGCTTACCAAAGAAGACAATATGTCAAAAAATGAGTTTCTTTAGCTGTAATAGGGATTATGTAGTAGAAATCTTATATAATTCTTAATAAAGGTCATATTTTCTCTTCAAATCTCTCACCTTATTTTACAATAGAAGTTTATTTTGGACAAAAAATCTCAAAGACTTAGCTTTGTTAGATTGAAGAGTTTGAGCATATTTTATAAACAAAGATTTTATCAAAAAATAAGAGATATTTTTAATTAAAAAAACTAAATAAATATGTGTAAAGTCATAGATTGTCATTTGCTATCTTCTAAAGATGTTATGTATGAGACTATTCTTTTACATGTAGCAATTAAAGATCATAATAGCATAGTAATATTTAATGTAATGAGATCTCTATCCAATCTTAATATTTTAGAATTATCTTGATTAAAAAAATATAATCCTTGAATAGATTGGATTTTTCATAACTTTAATTTTTTTAATAGTTTAATCCATAATCTTGTTAGTCAAGTAAAAGTACATAAGTCTAGTATATCCAAATTGTTATCGATAGATGTGAGAGCTTTTATGTATGTTGCAAAAGAAAGATTATCTTTTGTTTTATATACTACACCCATTTCTGATGGCAAGAAGACATCAAGTAATATTCTTAATCAATATCAAGATTTTGAAGATGTTTTTGAAAAAAAATTACAAATATTCTTTTAAAACATCATTTTTAAGATTATTCCATCAAACTTTACAAAAA